TTTTAACAAAGTCATGCCAACTAATTTGCCCCTTATATTAAACCATAAAACAAGGAAAAATAAAAAGGAAAAATCCAAGCAACTTAACATTTTTACTGCTGAAAACATTTTAATTTTCATTTTCATCATTAACTAAAATGATATACAATCGCACTTGAACTTTTGGGCTTAATAACATGAAACTATGTTTAAGTGCTTTTTTTTTTTTTTTTTTTTTCAAATAACGGTTTAAATTCTACTCTTTACAAAATTATTAAAAAAGAAAAGAAAAGAAGGATATACAATCTTCTAACAAATAAATGCCAAGATTTGAAAGAGGGAGAGACAACCAAATAGAAAATAGAGAGAGTAAGGAGGGCGTCGACGATACACTACGTACCCTCCTTATCATTCTTAAGATTCTCTTCAGTACAAGAGTACTGGTAACCTGCTTAGCTTCCAAGAGGGTGCCGCTCTGTGTGGAAATAATTTCCCCAAATGCAGAATGGTGGCTCGGCACTTATATAATTCGTTCTTCCTCTCCCTATTTATAATCCATTCTGTGTCTTCCCTCTACTTCCATGACTTTTCCATCCTTGATCACTCATTATGGCTCCCACTCCTGCAGCTCTAGACCGTAATTTAAACCCAAATGCTAAGTCATGGAGTCCATCCGCGGCTTCTCATCCACCGCCTTCCCCTCCTGACTACTCCCTAACTCATCTTCAAATGTTTCACCATCGTCATCCCCAGCCCTGCCAATCAATATTCTCTCACCCTCATCCCTACGCAAACTTTCATTTCATTTATCTACCGGCCCTTGAACCACCCTTGTTTCCTCCCCATACTGCTTATAACATGCAGTACCCTCCACCTCCACCTCTACTCATTGAGACTTACAACATGGGGCATCAAGCAGAATTACGGAGTGAATCCGTACAGGAGGTTGTAGTTACAGAGGAGAACTGTGGAAGTCCTCAGATAACAAGGTCCAGAAACAGGGGTTTTGGTCGGACTCGGAGAAGTGCATCCAGAACAGACGGGTTTGTACGTGCCGAACATGGTAATTCTGGGGCTGATCCGCGGCGGAGTTACAGAAATCCTTCTTCCAATGAGAACTGGATAAGGGTTCAGAACCGCGCTTCAAGAAGACAACCAAAGGATACAATACCATTGGAATCCGGGGGAGATAAAACCTCTGTAATGATAAGAAACATCCCCAACGAATACACGTATGAAACTTTTGCCTTCATTTTCTTATTCTTTTCTACTGCATTTACCCATATTTGTTTAAGTATTGCGTGGGTTTTGGTTTTCCTTTGCAGAAGGAAGATGCTAAAGCATTTCTTGATCAAGCATTGCGAGATGGAGAATAATGGGAAGGGAGGAGATTCAGAAGAAGAAAAAATTCACTCAGCCTTTGATTTTCTGTATCTGCCTATGGATTTCAGGTAAAGTTTATAATCAAACTCAAAAGTTTAACTTTCGCCATAAAAGTATCTGCCTCATAAACATACTTTCATTACCACGATGAATTTGATGGGGTCATTAATGCTTTCTCTTCTGAATTTTAATGTGGATGCAGAACACAGATGAATAAGGGTTATGCATTCGTCAATTTCACCAACCCAGAAGCCGCCTGGAGGTTCTTCCTTGCAGCAAACAAACAAAGTTGGGATTTTTCCTACTCTAACAAGATTCGCGACCTTTGCTGTGCTACAATCCAGGTAAGTAGTTATGTACGCAAGAAAAATCCAATCCTGGAAGATTATTGGTACTACCTTAGCTGTCAGTTTCACTGCATACGTTTTGATTAGGGAAAGGAGAAACTGGTGAGGCGTTTTGAGGGGATAAGTTTTCCAAGGGAGGAGTATAAGCCTCTGTGCTTCGAGCCTGCTCATGATGGTTCAGGGCAGGGGGTCAATGAGATCCCAATAGGAGTATGTACGAACCGCCGCCGCTGAGTCTGCCAAACAAGCCCCAAAGAAAAGTTGACATTGACTCCAAGGTCCAAACTTTCAAGTTTTTTTTCACTGAATAGTCATTGAAAGTTTTTAAAAAGCCTTTTTCTAGATCATGAAGGGGAAGGAAAGGGTATATGTTGGATCATGGATGGGTGGACCTTGGCACCTGGTTCCAGGGAAAGATCAGGTGGTGAGCTCCACCCTACAGATAGATGGTCATGATGATTTTCCGAAACCTTCTTTAGTCTAGGATAGATGATACCATCTCTGTAACCTTTCAACATGTTATAATGTCACTACTTCTGCAGTAGCACTCTTCAGGCATGCAAGGCACATTCTCGGCTCCAGTTGTTGTCCCATGGAGGATTGTTAGGGTTATACTTAAATTACCTTTTTAATTTTTTATCCACACGTGCTAAAAAAAGACAATGAAAAAAATGATAGAGGGCTAAATGATAATTTAACATTATAAAAGAAGTTGTTTGCGTGGTTTTGGAAATTCTGTCTGAATGGAATAAATTTAAGTCTAAATAAAAGAAACTTAATTATCATTAAATAATGTCTCAAAATTTGATGTTGTGAATGAAAGAAAAAGTGCTAAGAAAACTTTTTCTTATGGATTTAACACAATTAAATTTTAAGTTAATTAATTCAATATAACTTTAAAATATCGAAGAGTTTGTTAAAAAAAAAAAATTTGTGTGTGTGCTAAATGATAATAACCGAAGCCTCTTTGCCTGCTTATTTTTTCTCAAGAACTGAAAGTGGTGGGTTCAGATTCTAGTTAAAATTTGTTTGTTTTGTTATTCAGTTTCATGCATCGTTGAAGGTCGATCAGAGAACAGAACAGGGGCTTTGTTTATTTTCTGAATGATCAGACTCTTTTACCATGAAATGGGAACATGATGTTCATAGAACAAAGTCTTCCAAAAGCACGTTTCACTAAATTTTGAATTAATATTTTGCAATTTAGACCATATTAAATTATAAAATACTTATATTAAAAAACACTAGTTATTAGGTAAAAAGAAAAGAAAATCAAGATGTTCATATTGTTATGCCTTTATTTTATTTTATTTTTTTTCTAATGCAATATTATTTTTCCCTGTTGATCATTGAGCCTTTGGCCACAAGTCAGCGTTTGGTAATGTCTGTTGTTGACTTGGAATTCTTGAGCATATTAAATTACACAGGGCACGTCCAGGGGAGATAAAATGTGGTGAAGCAATTGGAGGAAGCAGCTGGTTCTGTGGTGGTCGTGCAAATTGTGAAGCCAGTGATCGTCACCTCTTACTAAACTTCACTAAAAGCCTTCAAAACAAACTAAGCAGCTCTCAGCTTCTCCGGTTTGTTCTGACTAAAATCTTCGGAGAAAAGTATTCCATCAGGGGAAAGAAGTCGTTGGAGAGAAAGGAAGAATCGTGCCTGAAAAACAAGGAAGAAAAAGAATACGCTTCAGTTTCCTCTTGTAATGTTATTTGCACAGTTACTACTGGTAGTGCTGAGGCTTACCCATTGAAATCCTACGAGTGCACACCAGCAGCCTGGCAGGCCAAATGATGTGCTGCTGCTTACAAGCTGCAAACAAGAGAAACAGCAAAGCATTAGTGCATGGGAAATTTAAATAACTCTGAGAAACAGAAACCAAAGGGTGGATGAGAGAAAACAGATTTTCACCAGTAGTCCAAGAGCACCCAAAGAGAAGCATCCACTCATGGATAAGCTAAGAAACTTGAGATCTCGCCCTGCCTGCAAAATGAAACAGATGTTTGGATGCTGGAACATAATAAGCTAGAATAAGAAATTTGTTTGGTTCTTGTATGAATGCTTTTCTTTAAGCATGAAAGAAATAGAGTTTAGGTGAGAGATTGAGAGCTAAGCATTGCATCCACCATGTTTTTGCAGTCATGAATTATATTTCAGCTGTAATTCTGAAATGAAAGAACGAAATGCACACGAGTTTCCTGTTTTTTGAGCAATTGTAGATGTATGTCCAGCAATACGGACAACTCTCAATGGATAAAGATTGTCAAAAACAAATCTCTCTTGCCTAAGTATGAAATTGAGGCATGAAACAATTTAAGAGTTGGCTTATATAAACATACCAGCAATGTTCCCTCAAGGCTGAGAGTGGATGGTGTCACAGCTATGGCAATAAAATATGGTATCAGCACTTTGCGCATCTGCATGATTACAGGAAATAAAAAATAAAAAATAAAAGAACAAGATATTTGAGATTCACAATACTAAGAAGAGATACTTGGATTCTTGCCTCACTAGCGATGCTGTATTAATATTAACACAAGGTGACAAGCTGTACAAAAAGAGGAAAGAGATGCTTTAAAGTTCAGAAAGCTGAGACTGACCTCTTGTATGACGCTCTGATCATGTGTGAAGATATTGGGAAATAACCAAGGAACAGATGTTCCAATAGTTCCTAACACCAGTCCTAGGATAGCTCCAATGATTCCAAGTGACTTCAGTAGTGTTCGAGCCTGAGCATACCATTACTTATTAAACATTAAGCAGCTAAAGTTAAAGATAGAGATAAGATGGTGATTTTTGTAAGAGAAATAATGCTTCAGCAACCTTCGGCAAACTCTTCTTGTATCCATACATCAACTCAGGCATGAATGATTGTGCCGCTTGGCAGAGAGGCTCACCCCATACTGTACACATATTGTACGTTTGATTCATGACCTAGATGGAAGCATAAATTATTGAATGTGATTAGCTACAAATTTTTACTGAATGGAGCAGCAGAAGAAGCTGAAACAACTGAATGAGACCTGATGAGCAGCTACAACATGTGTGCCCATAGAGGTAGCAAAATAGATCATGAGAGCATAGAAAGCCACCTAAAACATCAAAATGCCTCAGATGATATAGGGAAAAATGTTCTAAGGTAAGCACATAAAGTTAAAAAATCTAATAAAATCTTACAACCTTAGCCATCATCATTATAAAGACTGGGGCAGAGAGCCCGAAAATTGTTAGAAGGTCATCAGCTGATGGGATGGATATGGCAAATGCATTATATCCTTTCGTGTTTAGATTATCAATCATCATGTAGCCTGCAACAACCTAGAGAATAAAGTAGTTAGCAAGGGGTAGAAAATGAAATCAAGTTTCTACAAAATTTTGAATGTTTCAGATAAAGAGATGAATGAAAAACATCCAGTGTTCACTGAGCATACTTGTGACACCATTGTTGCCCAAGCAGCACCAGCTATACCATAGCCTAATACACTGCAAAGTAGTATATCACCAACACCATTTATGGCACTAGCAACTGCCAGAGCTTTCAAGGGTCCCCAAGAATCTTTCATGCCAAGACTGTGGAAAGAGAATAAAAATGAGAACACACAATGACAGAAGGCAATTCTAACTGCATTTCAAGAACTTTCAATAGAAAAGCAGGCACATGAGGTCCCTTGTAGACACGTTTGCACCAAAAATTCTGCAACTGTGGTTTTCCTTTACGCAGCCATGTGATATTCATTGGTAATGCTATTCATAGTTACAACAATTGCAAGGCTTTCAAAGATATCCAAATATCTTTCATGGCAATACCGTGGGAAGAGCATGAATCAACATAAAACAAAAGTAGAAAATTCAAACCATGGTAGAAGAATTTTCTATGGATTAGTACATCAAAAACTGTTAGCAAACAGCTAGACCAAGTAAGCTGAAAGCAAATTTAGTAGAACTGCATGAGAAAATTTTTTTTTATCATCTTCACCTTGCACTTTGAGCAACCCATCCAACAAGGACTGCAGGCCATGCTAAACCTCGAATCTACCAACAGAAAAGATTCTGTTCAATTAAAAATTCACTGACTAACATAGGCAAAGTGTCAAAAAAATGCCTAGTGGGGAATTCAATCTAGGAGCACTAAAGATGGTAGTTCTTACTTCTTAACTATAGTGCCAGATGATTAACATCCAAGAAGTAGAAAAGTCAGAACATGATAAAAGAAAGAAATCCCTTACAATGTGTTATTCATTCTTCTTGTCAAATTGTTACATGAATTACCATTAACAAAGGCAGTGAAAAAGATATCGATATAAACGTTAGAGGAATCATATCTCTAATACTTTCTAAAAGAAAGCAAGAATGGAACCTGAACATATGTATTTGCTGCTGGTACAATATGCACATTATTTGGCCCCGTAAAAGCTGGAAAAAAGCATGAAAATATTTGTCAGTCACTTGATGACCTCTGCTACTTTTCTCCTATAGTGATAAACATGTCATGACTACCGAAGTACTGCTAAGAAATACATATGTGATCATGTAAAATATAACCATAAGCTCTATCAATTACCAGTTAGTGCCGACAAGCCAAAGCATTTTGTAAAGAAAAGCATAAAGCAGCCGGCAGTCAACCCAACAAAAAGCAGGACAGATATTTGTTCCTGCACTTTGTTTTTATCCTGCACGATGGTATCTTAGTCAAGAAAATAACAAACAGAACCTAAAAAAGCCTGCATTTAACCAATAGAATCAATGATATGACCAGCACACAAAGAAATTTAATTTTCTTCAATGCACTAGGCCGAAGTGGGAGTATGCCTTTAAAGTCACCCAGAAAGGAATTAGTCTTGAAGGGAGCGTAAGGTAGCCCGGGACACAATGACTGTCCAAACAAAAAAATGATATGAAACCGTAAATTAAATTCACATTTCTTCTCCTCCCAGGCCCCCCCCCACAAGAGACGAGCATCAGGAAAAAGGGGACAAAAGAATTAATGGTGCTAAATAGAACTAGTGATGGTAAAATGATGTGTAACTATTAAAATTCTGACAGTTTAAAAATATGCATGACACTATTGAACTGCTCAAGAAACCGACCTGTTTGGCGAGTGAGGTGGCAACCATATTGGATGTAGCGACAGAAAGGAACATGAATACATAGCTCATATAATCACATAGAACTGTTCCAGGTCCTGCCCAATTTGGAAACCAGAATGAGAACATGTGTACTCGACTGAACTTATCTACCCTTCAATTTCTGGCAGTTAAAATCCAAGGGAAAAAGGCAAAAAAGCTCTTGTCCTTTTTTTGCTGTTTCTCAAACAAAATGCCACATATTTGTCACATTCCTACTTCATTTTCTTAGTTCATCAGTCCATGAACCCACATGGGTGACCTTTGAAATAATTGATAATATAATATGGAATGTGAACATTGTGACTATGGAACAAGGGCTTTTTAGATGTGCTATTTTTGGATTTATGCTATCTTTTTATATTTTCCTAAGTTTTTCTCAGCAGCCCTAGTGGAAAACAAAACCCAAAGGAAATTTCAACGAAAATACCTAACGCAGCAAGTTCAATTGAGCTTCCTTGACCAATGACCGCCGTGTCAATGAGACTCATCAACGGCCCACAAATCCATAGTCCCGTGGCGGGTCCGGTGAACATCAATATCTCCTTCATTTGGCTCCACAAACTCTGACCCGCCAGCTCCTCTCTCTTAACTTCCACCACTTCCTCCTCATCTTTTTCACATTCGACCATGGCCGAAGGAACAGAAGATACATTCCCATCATCAGACCTACTGATTTCCACATCATAACCAACTGCTTCCTGGCTCTGACTGATACAACCCCTGATAAAAAGATTCAAACTTTTCCCAGAACGAGATTTACAAAAGTGAAACCCGGGAAGATGGGAAGAAAAAGGTTGTGCCTTTCTGGGGAAAGAAAGACGTGTGATATTAGGATTTCTCAGAGAAGTAGGAGAAGGACAAGGTAAAATTTTCACTTTCATATTTTTAATCTCAAAAACGAAGAAAACTTGAAGTGGAGAATGAATGGAGGAAAAAACCAGAGTTGTTACCAGTTTGAGTGAAACACACGAGCGCATGAGTTACCAACGATTTAAACCGTTCATGACGAACGCTCTCTCCTTTTTTTTTTTTCTTTTCTTTTTTGCATTTTTCTCCTTTTTCCGAAATTGTTATTCTTTTTCTTGTGCCTCGGCCTCGGGCTTGGTATTCCGTATTCACATAGGTGGTGGTCTAACGTTGGGCCCAACATTGAGCCCAATTTGCAATATAGAGTTAAGATTTTTTTTATAATTTAAATTACATCAAATTATAAAATATTAACAATTAAATATCAAGAAGTATTTTAATCCAATAACTAATATTTAATAATTTACTATTACTTAAACTATAAAATATGAGATACTTTTTTATTCCAGGAATGCTGGAGGGTTTCTCCTTTTTTTTTTCTTTCTTTCTTTCTTTTTTTTTTTCCTTTTTTTTTGGGGGTAGTTATTATTTCTTGTCGTCCTTCAAAACAGGAGGACCCAATTATTACTAGTAATTTTTTGAATTTTTAATTCATGTCCTACATTATTTTGCTGCCGCAATTTTTCACTCTCACCGAACTTCTATCCAAATTTTGTCATTAGGGTGTTAGCGGTTCGGATACATTAGTTTTTTTATTTAATTTAATTTAATTGAATTAAAGAAGAGTAAAATCAATTTAATTTAATTAATATACTACAACCAAACCAATGTAACTATACCAACAACTTATTGATCCGAGTAGAAAGAGTTCAATTCTCTTTAAATAAGATTTCAAATTTGCATATTGTGAATGAAAAAACAGATGCATGGAGAACTTCTCTTCATATGAGGTTCAATTAGGCTCGATTCCGGATTAGTCGGAATTCAATATGATTTCTAGATACCGAAAGGTTAGTACAAAAAAAAAAAAACCAATGTAACTATTATTGGATTGAATTGGTTCAGACTAAATTGATCAATTTTGTCCCAAAAAAAATTTTTTTTTGGCTGTTTTATTATACTGCTCTTCCTTTCATAAATTTAAATTATACAAGAACAAAATAAAACCGAATAAATTTGTAAAAAATGAAAATATTGTATAACACAAATTTAGGGTTATAATGAATAAATAGTAAGAATATAAGAATTGCAAAAAAGTAAATTTCTTTCAATATCAGTTTGAATTGAATAATCATAAAGTAAAGTTATAAACTAAACCAATTTAATCAATTTTTAATTATTTTATCTAAATTTATCTAATAAAATAACAATTTTAATCAGTTTTTTTATTGGATTGGTTTGAATTATGTTGAATTAATCAGACTAGTTTGAATAAGAACACCCTATTTGCCACTATTAAATGTGCAAGTTGAGGTTTTCAAATCAGCTTGTGTACATGGTGAAATTCTACATCCATGTTTTTTATTTATTCAAAACTCTATGTTAAACTCTCAAACCTATCTCAAATTATTGATTAAATTTCTAAGCTTTTTGTTAAAGTTAATAAACTCTAAATTTGGCGGTATTAGTAATTTAATTTTTTTCCTTACAATTGACTAAAAGTCAATATTTGTCACGTAAGTAATGACACGTTAATATCTTACCAATACAAGGCACAATCGGGTACTAAATCCATTGTAAAAAAAAGGGGGGGTCAAATTGCTCTAATTACTAAGTTTAAAAGTTTATTTACTTTAATAAAAGTTTAGGGGATTAATTAAGAATTTGAGATAAATTTAGGGGTTTAACACAAGATTTTCCCTTTTATTTAATCTATTCGGTATAACACAATATAATTAATGCAGGTAACGAATTAGTGGAAGCTATAGAAAAAGATGAATTAGTGGTTCTTCTAGTTTCCAAGAAAGGAAAAAAAAAAAAGAATAATATTGTCACTCAGGGTCACCACGTACAAGTTTTATACTTGAGGCTAGGGTGGAGCCTCTTATCACACTGGGCGACGGTGTGCATATGTGAACTTAACACTTTCATATGTGGTAATAACCATACCCGAAACTCTGTAATAGTTACTGTTTAGACTTAAGAAAAAAAATAAAAAATATATATATATGGTATAAAAAAAATTTTATTATTTTCTACGTAAATCTTAAAAAAAAAAGTAAATTATCACATCTCAATCTCGTGACTCAATAATTATACATTTGATTAAAAAGTACACTATTGAGTTCTAAATCTTCCGGTCGACCTTAGGGTTGAATTTAAATCCTTTCGTAAAAATTATAAACTGTTTAAAAAAAAGAAAAAGAAAACTAAGTTATCAAGTACTTCTAAGTACCTCCCTCTCTTTAACCGCCGATTAAACTCGACATGCAAAGTACCATCTGCTATAATGAAAAAAAAAAAGTGTATCCTTTTACTATTAATTATTATGGATGAAATAAAAAATAAATTTAATTTTATCAACTTCTTTAATTAAAATTATACGTGTATCATTAGTGCATCAGCAAAGATAGGGGGGCTTAAGGGGGCAGGTTCCCCAAAACTTTTGCAAAAAAATAAATTAAGTCTAGTAATTTTTTTTTTTATTGTTTCCAGTTTCATTGTTGAAGATTACATTTTGGTGATGGTAAGAAGAGTGAGAGAAATAAAGATAATATGAAAATAGAAAAAAATAAAGATTAATTAAATAAAAAATGTTTATTATTATACTTTCACAAAATGTTTATTCATTAATCTCTTTTTACTTTTTTTATTTATTAATATTTTTCTACCCAATTTATATTATTATTTATCTCTCAATTGATGGCATCATTTATTGCATTAGTGTCACAAAATTTACAAATTAATAAAAAAATGTAAAATTAATCAATTATTAAACTATATTTTTAAAACACAAATTAAATAAATTTTTATAAATAATATTTTTTAATATTAAATTATATAATAAAATAATTATTTTTTATGTTTTAATCCATTCTATTAACATATTATTTAATTCAAACTTTAAGTTTTTTTATTTCAAACAAAAAAGAATTATTTTAGTGAGAAGGTTGACATCTTCAAAAAAACAAAAAAAAGTTGGGTAGTTGGCATGGCAAATACTAAGAAATATCATAATTACGTGCTCGTGGGAGTATTTGGATGGGACAAATGCAGTTGACTTTGTTGTGATTTGACCCAAAACGGCAGCCAACCTGCTCTTATGACGAGGAGGAAAATGGAGTAGGCCCATTAGCATAGTCCAAAAAAGGTTGTCGTGCAATCCAATTGATAAAAGTTCCTTCAAACTTCATTTTTTTTTTTTTCATTTTTCTTTTTCAAACTTGCTAGTGGAGAAAATGATAAGCTTAGATATTTTACAAATTATGACCAAAAGATAGGGGAAAAGATTTCACATGATCATGGTTCACCAAACTCCATCGCCTAAAACTTAGTTGACATTTTTTTATTATTATTGAAAATTTGCGACGTCCATTAAAAAAAAAAGGGAGGGAGAAAATGCAATAATAACATATAAGGTGAAACTAACCCAAAGTTGGATTCATTGAATTTTGTTAATGATATAAATAGTTTAGTGATATTTAAAAAATAAAAAATAAAAAATTTTAAATTCGAATCACATAATATGCGGATGAAATGAGATAAAAAATAAGAGAAGGTTATCATCTATTATACAATCAATATAAAAAAATAAAAAAAATTTAAGAAAGTTTAATTTTTTTGAATGTATTAAATCAATATGTGATGTGCCTTTAAAATATGTACAAATTAATTAAAAAATATTCTGATTATTTAAGCAAAAAAGAATCTTAATTAGATCAAACACTTAAGGGCCTTTTTTATTAGAGGGCCAATTTTATTATAAAAGTTTTTATTAAAAAAATATTGAATGAAAAGTTGATAAATTTTGCAATGAAGTTTTATTAAAATTTTATTGGATTATTAATTTTTATGTTTGATAAGAAATTGGTATAGCCAAAATTGGTAAGAAAATTGTCAAGTTGGTTTTGCATATATAAGTAAAATTGAGGATCAAGTTTTTCCCTTCAAAATGTGTGAAAAAAGGTTTATGGGTTGGAAAATGTCTCAGGATAAATAAAGACTAAAATGGTACTCTTACCATCCATTTGTTATAGTATTAATGTATAAAATTACATAAATAACCTTATACAATAGAAAGTTTAATGTTTGGTTGGGACTTGGGAAAACCTTAACTTTTCTAAACTTTTCCCCTACAAAATTATTTATGTATTTTCATATTAGAATTTTTTAAGGTATAGGTTAAATCTCATTAAATATAATATCTACAATTAATCATATATAAATTTTTATATCAAATTCAAGTAAAATAAAGTATAAAATGTAAAAATAAAATAAAATATTTATGTTCAAAATCTATAAAAAAAGTATGAATTTAATATAAAATTTTGTACAAAATTAATTATAGATATTATAATTAACAAACCTTAATTTGTGCTCTTACACAAATCCGAGAGCACAAGTTAGACAAACCCTTTTATATATTAAAAGGTTGTCCTTAAATCATATTCCATATTAATATATAACAAAAAGATGGTAATAGTGGAATTTTAAGCTTTTATTTTCCCTAACACAATTTTTAACTTGTAAAGTATTTTTCTCACTAATTTTGAAAGAAAAAAGGTATATTGAATCTATTTACTAACTTTTCCTATATCAATTTTTTACTAAATACAACAAAATTACTAACCTAATAAAACTTTTTTTCATAAAACTTAATAGCTTTTTATATAATACCTTTTAACTTTTTATATAATACATTTTAACCTTTTATTGAGTATTTTTCTCACCACTTCCTCAATAAAATCTTTCCTAATAAAATGACTTTCTAACCCAACAAGCGCTAGAAGAGAAAGTATCCCCAACCAAACACCCCTAAAAGGTTAAGGCAACTTGCTACCCTTAAACTTAGGACATAAACTAGTGAGCCATAAAGACTAGATTCAAACTTACGTACCTATTGGTTTGTGGAAGTTGGGCGTGGGGAGGAGAAGAAAAGGGTTTTTATCTTATTAAGGGTCCATTTGGTATACCGATTTTGAGGTAGCGGTTTTACGTAAACC